CATTAGGATATGAATCAGAATCAGGCCCCAAATTTGGAGCTGTCTTGATGCCAGCGTTTGACGTTAGGAAGAGGAGGGTAGGATAAACCCCTTATGACTGCAAATTCAAGCTACTAGAGGAATAGACTTGCAAGAAGAAAGAGGGGAGCACAGTTGGAATATTCCCTCTGACCTGCCGTGCATTGTTCGCACGTGTCATGCACCCTTACATCTTAACCAAGCACCATTTGCCAATCACGGTGGGTTATGAGCAAGGTTTTAATGGAACAGTCGGTTAATGCGCGGCCTTCTCTTTGGAAGGCTCCGAGTTTGATTCCCAGTTGTGACCACAAATCCTTTATGTAGCTTTGAATACCTGAAAACGGAGCAATGATGGAGAAGAGAGGTAAAGGTGAGGGGGTGTTTCGTCGGCCTTAGGTTATTTTGTCATATGATGACACTCGGCGAGCTCGAGCTACTGAGGTAAATTAAGGACCCTTTACCCTATATTTTCCATCAGTTCTGTCTTCATTATAAATATAATTGGTAAATGACTTACATTCCAAACTTCAACCCCTGAAAATCTATTGCGAGCTTGGGATTGTTATATTGTTTGGCAGGCACCAAAGAAACTTGACTTTGAACAACACTGCTCCTCTCGCCTTGAGCTGTTCACGGCTGAAAACGGAAACTGTACGTGTGAGGTCAATGCGTAGCGCGAGTGGGTGGGGTGGGTAGGGGCTTGTCTCGCTGTTTGCCGCGTTCCTTCCGCTTGGCGTCGAAAACTTATGGAACCAGTAAATTCAATCTACTTTTGGCTCCCTAACTATCTCACTATTCGCCTCTTTTACCCCTCATAGTTTGTCAGTGTGACTATACCTTATTATAGGAAATTAACAATGCATTTTATTGACCGGATTTTGACAAAAATCGCGTTGATTTAAAGCATCTTAATTTACGTCGATGTTAATTTTAAACACGCTATTTTACATCATTGTTGTTTTACAGCACCTTTATTTCAATAACAAAACCTTGTCTGCTCATAATTCCTCTATCAACGCCTCGGACTCACAGTTCTTTTTTTAGGAATTGAGTTCAAAATGTGTTTCGACTAGTCTTCGTATTGATCCGTTTCCCCGAGGGGATAGCTAACTTCTCCAGTCTTTCTTCTTAAAATTTCCATGGCCCGTATTGCAGTAAATTCGCGTTAAATAAAGTTAGGCGCACATTGTTTTCGAAAATTTCACGTTAATCGGATGTATGTAAAACCAACTTTTGGAAAATTCGCGTTAATTTTGTGTAACGTAAATTTTCTTCGCGTTGTCAACGTGCATCGTTAATTTCCTAATAGTAAGGTAATTTGTCAAATGTAAGCTACTTTCCCCGGAGTTGAATTCTTAAGGACTTTATAGAGGTTCGAAAAGAGAATGGAAAATTCGTCGTCGTATGTTCACGTCCCCCATAAATCGTCGCATTAGGAGGTTTCACGTCGTTTGTTGTGCAGTGGACGTCAAAGATATGTACTAAAAAGCGTGATGCAAGAGCAGAGCTGTTGGTTTATTCATAAAACCAATTGTTTTTTGACGTTTTCGTTCTCGTCGTCGTTGTTGTTGCTTAAGCTCCCTGTTAATTCAACTGGTAAACTTGGGGTCGACTGTGCGTTCATTTTAACCCCTCTCTCCCTCCGTTTTAAGAGTATTTCAAACTAGTTAAAGCTGAACAGAAATAAGAGAAGTCAAAACAAGGATGTGACGTCACCGGGGCCGCGCACTATCAAACTGTGCCACTTGCTCCTTGATATGCCGTAAATTCCGAAAATAAGCCCCGGGGCTTATATTTTTTAAAGGCCCTTCTTGAGGGGCTTATTTTTGGAGGGGCCTATCTACGGAAGGAAATTTGCGTTTCAAAATCAATTGGGCTAGCCTCATACTTGGAGGTAAATTTACCGTTTTTGCTTTGTTTTACTTTGTATTTGAGGGCAATTTCCCAAGTACAAGCCACCGGGGGGCTTATATTTGGAGGGGCGATTTAACGGAGGGGTTCTTGCGTTACCGGTTTAGGGGGCTTATATTTGGAGGGGCTTATACATGGAGGGGCTTATTTTCGGAATTTTACGGTACTTGTGAGTAAGTTTCAGCATATCACACCTGTTTTGTGCGAGCTTCACCGGCTACCGATTTAATATCGTACATTATCGTTCTCATACTAGATCATTGAGGTCTGTTAGTAATGAACTTTTAATGCAACCTAGATCGTATACCAAGACCTACGGAGGTAGAGCATTCGCTGTTCATGCACCAAGAGAATGGAACTTAATACCCTATGAAATTCGGAAGTCCAACACCATCTCGAGTTTTAAAACATCACTTAAGACGTACTTGTTTACTAAATTCTGTAATAACAGATCATTGTTTCTATAGATTTGTATGTATTGCGTTAGTTTTAATTTTTCCCTTTTTTAATCATTATGAATAAAATAGTTTAATCGTTGCTTTAGTTTTAATTTCTTTCCTTTTTTCACTCATTGTAAACATAATTAGGATATGGTTGTAAATTTGTAAATATTTATCAATAATGTTGATTACATGACTGTAAAGCACCTTGAACATATGATAAGAGCGCTATAGAAATAAAGTTATTATTGTTATTATTAGTAGTAGTACTTTGATCTCCGGCTGAAGTTCCATTTTTCTTCTTCTTTTTCTAGCTCGTCTTAGTGGCCATCGTTTTCCAAGCAAGGAAGAGGAGGATGCCGCACTGATATATCAATACAACCCGGTTTATTGCTATCCAGAGATAACCCACTTCGAACAGTGCTACATTTTCAAGTAGAATTTAGAGGCTTAATCCGGAATTTTTATTTTGAGGTAGTATTTTACTACACCTTGAGCGGTGGTTTTAACGGGATTTTATCGTGCTGTCTTAGCACTACACCTAAACTTGTGACAAATATTTTCGATATTTTAGCAGCAGTTTTGGTGTAGTGGTGTTAAACGGTAACTTCTGGCTAAACCTGCGTGATTTTTTTACATTTAATCAAACAACTTGGGGTTGACTTTTATATTGGTATAACAATTAGACAGAGACAGTATTACAAACTTTGCAAATAAACAAAATGAAAAGCGGCTACATGTAAGAAAAACGTTTAATTTGTACATTAATGAGAATGACTTAATGTGATAGTTTTTTTTGTTTTTTGAGCTCTACGCATTTTGTACACTTTACAACGTATTGTAATTGTCTTCAAATGTAAACGAATTCAATAAAATGTTTTGGTTAAAGAATATTTTCTTGATTTAAAGTCAGCTCCCAAATAATCACCGGAGTTACGAGATAAAAATAAACCTAATAAGCTAAGGTGTCTCGACCTGGTTTTTCAGGGACAACACTAGACTCTTCACAGTCCCCTATTTTTTCGTGAGATTGTTTACTTTATATACATGTATAATGCGTCTTACCGACACGGGTACCGTCACAAACAAAAAAAGGTTCAAAGAAAGTACAGTTCGGCTACCTAAACAAGACAGGAGAAATAAACGAACGTTGATTGTGTACAATCAGTCAGATATATCTAGTTAAATACAAGATTTACAAAACTTTCAAAACATTATTTGGTATTTGACCGTCAGGGAAAGGAAACAATCGATATCAAGAGCTATATTAAGAGCAATCTGTAAGAAAGTTCCATTTTTTAGTGTCCCCTGCGTTTTTCTCTATAATAGATCTTGACTTAACTAGGCGTAGAAAATTTGCAAAATTAGGCGATATTTCATCCATTTTGGCTTGCCAAATATGAAACCGCGCTAACAGGAGACAATAGTTTAATTGACACGAGTATTCTGTATAATGAGGCTCTGGCCTCAAGCCCACTGCAGTAATGTTCAATAAGTTGTATTTGCCGATTAACGGAAGAGCGTTTTAAAGCCAGTCGGTTACGCTTTTCTAAAAAGAGGATGTAACATGGCAAGACCAAAAAAGATGAATTAGCGTCTCTGAGGAATTGTTGCAAAAGGTACAGTTGTCATTTTCTTTTCGTCCTATTTTAAGTAAGAAATCATTGGTTGGTATGCGCCTATGTAATAGTTTAAATTGGAACTCTATCAGTTTGGTGCTTTTTGTGCACCGCTGCGCCATTAGATAGGCGAGTTCCCAATTAAATGTATCTTCTTCGTCTGAGTAGTTGCAGTCTTGAAACCACTTTAGTTGGCTTTTACGTGGGGTTAAACTTTTGGCTCTGATCAGTTTTTGGTAAATTAATGGACCTGGCTTTTCTCTCTCAACAATTTTTTCACTTAACTTTTTTAAAGGTATATAGTCTCTTGTCTCAGCAGTATCGGTAACATTTTTGCGAATTTGTTTAACAGCTGATAATAAACCAAAAAAACTGAGCGGGCGTACCCTTAAATCATGTTTGGAGGCAAAATCTTTGAGAGTCAGAAAATTATCTTTTCCTGATTGGAGGTGTTTAACCTTGGAGATACCTATTTCAAGCCATTCTTTAAAGAAAATTGGTTTATTATCTATCCTTATTAAAGAGTTGAACCACAGAAACTGTTCTTGAAAAGCGATATCAGAGCTTACTTGATCCACAAAGTTTATTTCTGCCCAATATTCCAATATTTCTTTAAGAAAGGGGTCTGTTGCTCTAACCTCTTTCTTAGTGTCCGAGACATTGAGATTACCACGGAAAATGAGATCGCGGCCGTAGTTCTCCAGTTCTAGATCAAAGAGGAATTTCCATTTTCCGTGGTTAGTCGTGTCCAAGTACTTTTTAACCCATGTTGCTTTAAGAGATTTGTTGAAAGAGCAGAGATCAATCATCTTCAGGTTTCCATATTCAGGTTCATTGATCATAATTTTTCTCTTGATTTTGTCACCTTTACCATTCCATAGGAAATGGTAAAACATGTCATTTTTTCGTTGTAATTCGACCTTAAAGCCGTGTCCGGATCAGTTGACAGCCACAGACCAAGTGTTCTGACTTTATATTTTGGCCACTTAAACTTCTTTCCTGAAACAAGGATTTGTTCATGCCCTATCTTAGAACCGATCCAAAGAGCTTCCGTTTTGCTATCGTTTAACTTAAGGCCGGAGATCTTACCAAAATCATCTAAAATTTGTATTGCTGATGTAAGGGATTTCTCCGAACCGTCTAAGATAAGAGTGGTATCATCAGCATATTGGCTTATCTTAACTTCGTCATTACCTAGAGAAAAACCTCTTATGCTCTTATTGTTACGGACGGTCTTGGCCAAGACCTCCGCAGTAAGAATAAACAAATATGGGGAAAGGCCACAGCCTTGCCTAACTCCTCTTTGAGGCTGGAAGAAGTTGCTTGACCAGCCATTGTTGAGTACACAACTTTCGATGTTGCAATGAAAGGTCCTCACCCAACTGATAAGTGATGGTCCAAAGTCAAAAAAGCGTAGTGTATCAAAAATAAAGGGCCATTCAAGGGAATCGAAAGCTTTTTCAAAATCTATAAAGAGCAACAACCCGGGAACATTATGCTGTGTAGCATACTGGATGATGCCATCTATATGTCTAATATTTTCCCCAATGAACCGCCCTTTCATAAAGCCTGTCTGATCATTATTTATCAGTTTTGGGAGAACGGTTTTTATACGGTTTGCTATAGCTTTTGCTACAATTTTGTAATCTGTATTAAGGAGAGTTATAGGGCGCCAATTTTTTTTTATGTAAAATGGTTCTATGCTCTTTTTTGGAATAAGTTTAATGATACCCCTTCTTTGAGTAATAGACAAGCAGCCAGATTCGTAAGCAAAATTGAGGGCGGAGAGTAAATGAGTAGAAATGTCATCCCCAAAGACTTTGTAAAATTCGGCTGGAAGGCCGTCTGTACCGGGCGTTTAATTAAATTTTATCCGCGTTCATCGATTTTAAAGCTTCTTCACATTCTGTCTTAGTTAAGAGACCATCGCAAACCTGTTGATCATCAGGAGTCAAAAAAGTCATTTGCTTGCTGAAAGAAATCAAAATTCACAGAGTTGTCTATTTTTGAGGCGTAGAGATCTTTATAGAAAGATTCGCATTCAGATAATATATCTTTGTCAGATATTACGAAAACTCGGTCGCTAAGTTTCAATTGGTTGATGGTACCTTGTTTAAAGTGACGTTTTTCAAGATTAAGAAAATATTTAGTATTCTTTTCACCTTCATTGTACCACCTGGACTTTGATCGAAGAATGGCACCTTTGGTTCGGTATTCAATTATTTTCTCGAGTTCTTCTTTTAAGATTTTAATTCGTTCAGTGACGTTTTGGCTCACTGGCGGATCATTGCTACAAGCATTGTCCAGTCGTTTCTCCAACATTGCAATTTCTTTTTCCAGCTCCTCTTCTTTTTTATTTTTGTTTTTTTAATGGAAGCGGAATAAGTAATTGATTTTTCGCGGACTTTTAGTTTTATCATATCCCACAGTAATAAAGGGTTAACCAGATTATCGTCTTTGTATTCGTTAGCTGTTTCTTGTATCGCTATTTTTATTGTTTCAATAAAATTGTTATCAGCGAGTAGAGACGTATTTAGCTTCCAAAAACCGTTTCCCCTGGGATTAGAATGCAAAGATAGGCTAAGCGTTATCAGAGAATGATCAGTTTTGAATCCTGGTGTGATATCTGAATGAGTCGCTTATCGGCCTAGTATGGATTGACTCACTAGGGCCATTTATACGAGGAAAAATAAGACGTGTCTTACATAAGACGTGAACTTTCCGTATAAACGGCACATTTCGTCTAAAATAAGACGCGGCTTAGCTAAGACGCGTCTTATTAGATAAGACATGCGCGTATAAATGGTACAGTTCGCGTCTTATTTAAGACGCGTCTTATTTTTCCTCGTATAAATGGCCCTACTAAGTCTGCAATGAATTTCAGGCTGTCTCTGGCGCCAGGTGTATCTTTTACAATCTGGATTAAAAATTCTCCAAACATCACACAATTCCATATTTTCCATTGCATCTTGTACCACCTCCAAAGCATTTTGGTGTTCTAGCGATTCCGTTCTTTTTATCTCTGTCAACATCTAGTACTAGATTAAAATCACCGCCGATTACCACACTCCCCATCGCACTTGAAACAAGAGAACCGATCAAAAAAGGTGTCAAAGAAATTAGGATCATCCTTGTTGGGCCAAGCGTAGATATTGGCCAAGGTCAACAATTTGCCATCCGCTTCAATGTCGCATATGATAAAACGACCATTCGGATCCTGAAGTGTTTTGATAACATTTAGATTAAAATTGTTGTTAAAGAGGATGCCGACCCCGTCACGGGTATCTTGATTTTCAAATGTACCGAGGCGGCGGGCGTCGGGGATTATAGCTCGGGGGGTGGGGGGAGGGGCGAGAAAAATATTTTTCTCGCTTCCTCCCAAACCGCCCCCGCCCCCTAAGTAGTTTTGACACTCATGCAAGATGGCAGCCCGTAACACAAAGCGCTCGATCTCGATGATCTTACGGAAAAATAAAGGGCCGTGAACAGTCTATGACAACACCTACTCT